ATTGTGTCAAAATTAGAAGTTAGCATTTTAATTAAAGCCAGACTGAAAATTTAGTCAAACAAGATTTATTTTTCTGTAGATTTAAAACAAAAGCGATTAATGAACATCAATGTTAATAAATATGTTTTTCTACCCACATTGTGCTCCTTGCTTGAGTTATTGTATAATAAGAAAATAATTCATTTCTATCAAAACAAAATGTTCCACATACTGAAATATTGGTCATGCTTTCTGCAGGTGTTAGTAATTTGTTTCCATATAGCTGTTTTCAATTATGAATATGCGGGTACTTATATCATATATCAGTGACGTTTGTAAACACATTAACATTTAACAGGATCAGACCCGTGGATAAACACAACCAAACCAGCAGCTGATTGTTTAAACTAAAACTACAACGATCAGTTGAAAATGTTTCCTTAGCTTATTCGTTAAACTCAACCCCAGTAGTTGATAATATTCCCACCTTGTAATTATCTACTTTTATCTATAATTTTTACAGCTTTAAAATCCGGAGTTCGATTTTCCCCTGTTGGCATAGTGCAGATAACCAATTGTATAGCTTTACACTAAAACAACAACTGTTTTGAAGTTGGCTAACTTTCTAAGTACGCATTTTCAATAATGCAAGTCGAACGCCCTAACCACCAGGTTACGCCAGGCCACTAATGAATTGAAAAAGAAAAAATGCAAGTTTAAAATTAAATCTCATATTTATATTTAAAGCTAATAGTTTCAACTTTGTCTTGATGGGTAAAGGTTTTTTATTTTTTCATTTCCACTTCCAAAACGTTAATAAACTCTATTGTGAATTATCTCAGTGATAAAAAATATATATAACAAGTTGAAAAGAGGTATTGAACACTTCCTAATCATGCATAAGAATGGGTGTGGTATGGCATAGTAGCTAGCGTGATAGATAAAGTATCGACGGGTCCGAGGTTCGAGACGTGATGGCTCTGAACACGTTTCGCACTTTCAGCAATGAACGTTTTATAATAGAGACAATCAATCTCATTAATCGGATCGAAAAAAGTCAAACGAAGCCCTAGTGGCGGCGGGAACTTCACAATTAGGTACTGCTATACTTCAACGCTAGAAGTCTCTAAAGGGGCCGTTTAGCTCACATCAGCATAAATGATCTCCAACTGAAAATGTCAGTTCTGCGTAAGTATTCGAGGCTTTCAAGACCATGTATTGTTTCCTACCTGTGTAATGTCAGGTGTGCGCAGTTTCAAACTTACATTTCAACAGGTTTACAACCGAACTTTGTAGAAAACAAAAGTCATTTGTGGTGCTTAGGTTTTACGTTACGAAGATCTATGATCTCAAACGTCTCTATGAAGAAGTAATAATCATCAAGAAAAATGGGGTTTTCCAATGGAAATGGTGAGGTAAGTGTAGAAAAGACCTTGCGACATTTCTATTGAACTTAGTATATCTTCCGAACATAGTCCGGTTATTTTCACATCGATTACGGTTTTCGTACTAATTATTCTGTAACATCAATCGAGAGAAAGTACCATTTGGCACTTTTGTTGTATTGATTTCAAGGATGTTGTTGTTTGTTAATAAACACAAAGGGTTATCTGTGCTCTGTCCACCACGGGTATCGAAACCCCGTTCCTAGCTGTATAAATTGATATCAAGGAACAGAAATTCTCGCAAGATATGGCGTGGTACAAGAACGCAAGCCATCGAGAGGAGCAGCAGTAAGTTTGAGAAGTTCTAACATACATTTCGATGTTCGATCCCTGAGCACAACGCGCATATCCCATTGCTGCAAAAGGAGTTAAAATTCAATATTATCAATGCCATTTGAATATATATACATATTACTCATTAAATTAATATCACATAGATGTACTTATTACAGATTATATAAATACGATGTATTTATTACTCACTAAATTAATATGATATATAGGTGCTTATTATAGATTCAAATAATATTTAATATAGATATTTATTTCCCATTATATTAATATCACGTATGTTTATTTAAAATAAAATCTAATCACATTTGTTTTTTATTTTAAGGATAAAATCCCTTTAATTATATATACGTATTGTGGTTTCAACACTTCTTATGCCCCCCATTGGCACAGCGGTAAACCTAAAGGCTTATAATGCTAAAACCCATGTTTCGATACCCGTGGTGGCCACTGTACAGATGGCCTATCGCGTGGCTTTGTGTTTAACTCCAAACAAACTTTAAATCATAACTAAACCGTATTGTAAATTGAAAAACCTTTAAAGCACAGCACTTACTAATGAACTTAATGCAACTTCTGTGTGAGCTTAGGAAATGGACTGAACGAGACACAGTGGTTAGTGTGACGTATTGTGCTCCGTCACTATAAAAAAAATATTAAAAAAATCGCGCTCCGTAGTTTGGGACGTGGATGCGTTATAAGAGGAACGATCGAATTCTAATATTCGATTAGAATAGCCCGCGAATTGGCGGTGATGTTAGCTAGCTGCCTTCCCTCTAGTCTATCACTTCAAAATTAGGGACGGCTAGAGTATATGGACCTCGAGTAGCTATGCGCGAAAATCAATAAACATCTTAGGAATTCCAATACTCCAAGGACTATGCCTCCACAGAACGGTAATGGTTTGAATTTCGCGCAATGCTACACGAGGGCTGTCTGCACAAGCCGTCCCTAATTTAGCAGTGATAGACTAGAGGAAAGGCAGCTAGTCAATACCACCCACTGCCAACTGTTGGGCTATTATTTACCAATGAACAGACGTACAATACTAACTTTATCAGATGTATAAAATGAAGTACGACGTGTAAAACCGTCACATTATAACGCCCCCATGAGCTGAAAGTGAGCATGTTCGGCGGAGATTCGAACCCGCAACTCTCAGATTGCGAGTCGATCATCTTAACCACTATGTCATGTCTGAACAGAAATGGCTAAATTGAAAAGGTATATAATTTGAATTATGATTAACTTCAACACACTACCATTTAAAAAAATATTTTCATTTCAATGAAAATACATTTTTTTAACCAATAGTGGTGTAAAGTTTGATAAAATTTGAATTTCTCGTATAACCAACGTTTCATTTTGAAGTTTAGTTACTTGAGTGTTTAAAGTATTTTTGTGATTGTACTGTACACAAATAACATTACTGTTGTAAAGCAAAAAGCTTCACGTCGAGTTATCCATGCTCTCTCTGTCCACCACGGGTATCGAAACTGGTTTTTAGAGTTATAAGCCTTCAAACTTACCGCTGAGCCATCAGAGAGCCCATCGAAACGTAAATCGTTGATTTGTAAAAACTTTTAACAGTGATTTGGTACGTAGTTGAATTGGCTCGCCTACGTGTGCCATTTTTTAAACCTGAAAACGCCCGTTTTACGAACTTGGAAGTGAATATATTATTTATTCCTGTTATTACAGCTCAGCTAACTTCCTATTTGAAGTAAAGTACAACATGTGATGATTTACTTTTGTCGACGATTTTAAAACACTGCACGAAAAATGTTTTATATCTAAACTGCAAATATCTCATTACCGCGAGTTTTTCGATTTTCATGAACACAAGCTAGTTCGTTCTTTAAAGGTTTACGTACTACGTTTGATGAATGAGTGAAACTTATCCATTATAAGATTTGTACAACAGTATTTTCCATTCCGTTTTCTATAAAATTAAACTCAAGCAAATGAATAATTACCGTTAATTCGGATAATCAGTGGTTGAAAATGCAATGTCGTAGTAGTGAAAAACCCACAAGGCTAGGTCATAGAACAAGGGTTGGCAAAAAAGAAATTTCACTGCAAACTCAAGATCAAATTTACTTCCCTTAAGTCAACGTAAATTAAATCCCTCCCTTTTTTTTTACAAGGGCCTTAACTTACATCCCTTAAGAAAACGTAAATTTATTTCCACGTTCCTTTTATTAAAACTTTAGATGCCGAAGAAGATCCAACTGATTTGACTGAAATGTTAAATACAGCGTTGAAGCATGCATTTTACTCAAAATATTCATATTCCAATCGATTTGATGTACAATATTTTAATTCCACACATTTATTATGCGTGTTCTAGAATTACCAGTATTCATTTTAATATGCGGGTTATTGAATCGCCTGTATATATTTTTAGTTCATGTAGTATACGGGTTATCCTGTTACATTTGAGTTCATTTATTATTCGTGTTGTTCAAAAGTTATTTTTCAGTTCAAGTTACACGGAAATCATGTATTCAGGTGGAGTAAATGAAGATATCTTTAAATAGTGTTCCTTGTTACCTACTTCCTCAAAAAGAAAATTTAAAATGGACGAATTTGGCATTTATCGCGCATTTTGATTTTTCTTTGCTACACCAAATTCTTGAGGGCTTTATTACGTACAATTTTTATTTTTAACGTAGTAAAATATTCGGGAATTGATTTATTTATTGAATTAATTTAGTTTCATCAGTTGATCTCTAACTTTTATACCAAACAAGGTGCACTTGATAACTGACTGTGCTATTCCCCAAACAATGACTTCAGGCACCATACAACTCCCTGTGCTATTCCCCAAACAATGACTTCAGGCACCATACAACTCCATGTGCTATTCCCCAAACAATGACTTCAGGCACCATACAACTCCATGTGCTTTTCCCAAACAATGATTTAAGCAACAGATGACTAGCTGAGTTTACAAAACAATGACTAGATGACTGGCTATGCTGTTCCCAAACTGTGACTTAAACAACAGATGACTAGCTGAGTTTACAAAACAATGACTAGATGACTGGCTATGCTGTTCCCAAACTGTGACTTAAACAACAGATGACTGACTGGCTGTGGTTCTTCCAGACAATGGCTGTGCTATTACAAACATCTGCTTTATGACTGTATTGAATAAATAAATGTAGTGGCTTCTTCTTTAAAAATTTTTTTTTTATTTTGATTGAAATAAATCTTTGGTACTCAAAAAATGATAAACTATGAACAGAATGTTCCTAGACAAGTGGCAACCTAGTCAAGACACAGTCATTAAAATATATTTATTACTGCTTCTTGTTTTTGTTAATCTCAGATACAATCACAAGAAATAAGTTTCTTTGATAAACCAGTGAATGTAAGTTCAACCTATTTGCTGGAAGTTTTAATATATATATCATTGGATAAATAACCATACAAACCAACAAGAAATGTATTTCAATAACAATGTTTTAGTTAACTTTGTATTAACCCAACAATATACTCTGATTCACAGTATACATATAAGAACAGCAATTTTTTTTCATTAAACAAATTTGGGGGAAAAAAAACAACAAAATTCTTAAAGCATTTAATTTTTTTTTTATTCTTAACAGAAAGTGTGACCAACTTATAATTTCAGCTGATCCCAGTCAGAAAAAAAATATATAAGAAGCAAGTATGAGCAATTTAACATTTTATCTCATACAAGTTAAGAGTCAGTGGAAAAAAATTAGACTATGTATGCCAAATTCAACAAGATAACATATCTAATATGTTTCATAACATGATTCACCATTTCAATAATTTGATATTTCAATTACATAACACAACTGAAATAACATTTTCCCAAATATCAAAATTCTTCTTGCAGAAATGTAAATTTTACCCTCAACTTCTATTTCATTTTTAATTTTCTAAATATGCTTTGCAGAATAGCTTCATCTTATGATGGATGGGTGGGTGAGAGATGGCATTTTTTTAAATAGTTGATTAACTTGCTTTATATTTCTAAAATTTGCTACCTTTTATGTAGATATGACAGCATAAAGAAGCCATCTTTAAGGTTTTGTATTCCAAATAAAATTTTAAAACTTTTATTTTCTTAGTAATTAATTGTCAACTCTTAGTAAATTGTGAAATTGTTTCAAAATTCAAAGTCCCCTGGATCGTAAGTAATTTAACTTAGTACAGTTCTTTTTAAAATTAAAATATCAAGGTAAAAGATCCACAGTATAAATCATTTGTTTGTTGTTGAACACAATTATCCATCAAGTGTTCTTTCTCTGTCTTTCAATATAGCTTAATCACATTATTATTTTAACAAAAACAACATATTAATATAATAGCTTTAATTAACATTACAGCATATGTCTGTGTGACTTAAGGGGAAGAAACATATTCAAAAAAATAAATTATTAGATAAGTGCTTATGAAAATTATAAAAAAGTAGTAAAGACACCATATTTGGGCAAGTTGTACAAACTTATGGGAAACCAGAAAAAAGAACAAAAAAAATATTTACAATTAAAAGAAATAATCATTCATCTAAAATTAACATACCAAAGGAAAATCAAGTACCTGTGATGCTTTCTTTCACCTAAACGCATCAAAACTAAATGTCACAAGTTAGAAATTATCATAAAACATTCCAATTGATAAGTGATTCAGAAACCATCAAATTCTGTTGCTTGTTGCTTGTAACGTGGACATCTTAACAGTAGATGTTTGCACTGTCTACCTTGATAATATATGATGCACAGTTTGTAACAGAAATCTTTGCAAATAGATGCTTAGAGTTTGTAACAAGAACATCTTAACAATAGATGTTTGCACTGTTTGCAACAAGAACTTCTTAACTGTAGATGATTAGAGTTTGTACCAAGGACATCTTAACAGTAGATGTTTGCAACAAGGACATCTTGACAGTAGACATTTGCACATTTTGTAATATGAAGATCTTACAGTGGATGTTTGCCATATCTTAACACGTGCTACTATTATTTTTCATCAAAATCTCTTACAAATGTCACACCACATCCTTCTTAAAATATACACTTATCACTTCTTTCTTTGTCACTTCAAAACTGACAGAATTTACTGCTTCAACCAGTAATTATTACAGATGGGTTGTTTCACAATAGAAAGGAAAAGCATTGTTTATCCTCAAAATATGCTATAAATATGAGGAAACCTGCAAATACCACAAAAAATCAATCATATGAAAGAGAATAATTTAAAACCAAATACTGTGCATCAAATAATATTATTTTTCTACACATCAAAGATTTACATGTTTTAGATAAAAAAAAATATAAAACCAAAACTTCAGAACTCTTGTAAAAGAGAACTTGCTACACGTGGTTTCAGGCTAATGACAAATAATGAATAAAGTATATAATTTCTTACCACTTTGTTAAACTAAGTGGCAATTAACAGTGATGGCTAGTAATTAAACAAACAACAAAATTTATACTATTGGTGTAAAACAAAAGTAACAGCTATTTTTTTGTGTACATTTGAAAATTTTGTACACATGCAAGTTTCTTATGACTTTGAAAATCCAGACTTTTCACTCTTTATCAGAACTCCAAACTTTTTATGAATTTTGTAATCCATATGAACTGTATGTGAAACTGTTTTAATTATAATTAACAAAAGCTCTATTCTAATGGATTTTAAATAATCAAATGATCTAAGTGCTCAACTCAGTATACACAATATACAGTACTTCTGTAATGCACATGTTTGATTAACAATTTTCAAATAATAAAAACCTGATGTATATTATAGGTTTTGTCAAATTTCTAAAACTTTTATTGAGGTATTTTAACAAACTGTAATGTATGTAATAGTGTATTAACACTGAATTAACATGTTTGGTTTGATCAATTATTCATTTGTATGTTTAAGTGCAATCCTACACAATAGGCTAACTGTAGGTTCCTGTTGCAGAGACTAAACCACAAATGTTAGCTATATAAACCCTCAAAGCTCAGTGCTGAGACATCAGGAGACTCAGATAAAAACCTAATGCACAACTCAACCTGACCAAAATTGCAGGTTTCAGGAGAGAAAATAGACCCTATCCTTACCCGGAATATTTTTTCTTTTTAAAAAAGCAACTAAAGGCTAGAAAAAGGAATGATCAGAAAACCTTAAATCCACATAGTATTCTGTGATACAGAATCTCATACTCATAATACCAGGTGATAAGTAGGCATACTCCATATATAGTATATATTAGGAACTTTTGTGTGATTGGTGCCCCATTCAATGTCTCATTATGATTGGGTGATAAGAAAAATAAAAAATGATTTAGGGATTTGTCCACTCCTGCTCCTCTTCTACAAGGAGTAATAACTGTTCTAGTTCTGTCTCTTTCTTTGTGAGGTGCTCAAAAAAATATCTGCAACAAGTGCAAATGCATTGTATTGCAATTCTCATTATCTATGCAAGTAATATGGTGTTGGCTACATCTTTCCTTCACTTCTTTCTTGTGCCTGATGAGCAATCATAGACAACCAAAGAGGGTGAAATGAGACAAGTGGGGGATGCACAAAGCAAGAATAGCAGAAGTATGATGAAACACTTACAAGAAGAGCTGAGACAGACAGCCAAGAGCATTACAGAAGAAGAATACAATCACACAGTGGGGGGGGGGGGGGGGGGAGAACTGAGACAGATTAATAGAAACAATTACACAAAGATATCACAGGGAGACACAGGTACAATCACAATCAGAGAGGCAAAACTAGGGAAGCATTCATCACTTAATGAATGATGCGGACAAAGCTTTATTATACCATAATAGACTCCTCAGGACCAACATTACCATCCACACTTTCCTGATTAGCAGCATGCTTGAGATGAGTAATTTTGGATTTGATTTGCTGATCAGATGGAAAGCCCTTATTTCCATTCTCATTTCTAAACTTATTCTTGAAAATCTGTGGTCCTGAACCTGGTTTTATTATTGGTGTGGACTGCTCCATCAAGACAGACAGCTGAGATGTGATGAATATGCAACTCCTAGAAGACCTCACTACTGTTTCCTCAAACAAGTTATCTCTAATCTGATTTCACTCTCAACCAGAAGATCATATCTCCCTGGATACTTCTTCACCAAATATCCTAGCATCCTTCTTGGTCCTCTCTTGCAAGAAGAATCTATCTCACCAAGATCAAATAACATTTGATATCTTCTCTGAGTTCATGAATGGTTTCCTTGCCGTACATCTGACATGCTTGTAGTCATTTCGGACAGAGCTGTACATGTTGTTTTTGCCATTCCTGACCTCAACAAATGTCCAGTTCCCCAAACTGCCACAAAAAAATAGGGCTCTCTTAATAGCACAAGATCGGACATCACATGGCTCAGCTTCATTCTTCTCATCCGCATCAGACACATTACATTGTGCCTTCCACCTATGCCATGTTTGCCTCAGCTATGCCTGTGCCAGGATGCTCACACCAGTTAATAGTACAAACCTAGGAGTTGACCCCCAACCTGAGCTCTATCACAACCACTTTCATCATTTGTTGACTCTTGATCTTCTGTCACTACTCAACAACACATTGGATTTATCTTCATATGCATCATCTTCACATTCACTCTCATTGACTTCTTTCTCCACATCTTCTCCCTGTTCTGCTCCTTCTGGTGCTCCAGACTTCAGGATGTATTGATTAGTTCCCAGACTGATGTCCACATGAATCTCAGGTCCAACGTTCGAGTAAGCTCCTAAGAAGTATAGAATTTATAGGACCTTTATGATCTTGGAAGGTGTGTAAAAGTGGAGTGTTTTGTTGGATTGAAAATCGTGGATAGTTGAAGACAGTCAATCATAAAACAGTGTAGACTGCAAATAATGAGTAGTGGATATGCTTGTTTGATTCCAGAGACGGAGACAAATCGTTTGGTGTATTCAGAATAAAGGTATCTTTAATACTGGAAATGATTTTCCCAAAACTTTCCCGAAAAAATGTCTGGTTGATTTGTGCATCAGGTGTTAATAATATAACTATAAAAGTGTATTTCAGGTTATTAATATCTGCATATATTAGATGAAAACAAGTCTTTAGCCGAGTTCAACAAATGTCTATGTTTAATAAACATTAAATGAATTACATCATACAATACACAAACTAGAAAAAATATTACATATATACAATATATTAGCCTAAAATAAAACCTTAACTAACTGATTTAAGGCAAATTACCAAGTTTTTAAAATAATCTTAATTTCTTGAGCAGTTTCAGGGTCAGTTGTTTAGCCATGAAATAGAATGTATGAATTATATTGGTTGTATTTATTGTGATTTTAATTCAACATGCCTAGTTTTCTAAGTCTACAGATAAGTTTTTTAGGCTAAAATCAGACTATAAAGTTTTAATGCATTATTACAAGCTTAACTACCATTCCCATCAGTAGCATGGAGCTTACCTCACTGTTGGGGAAGTGATCTGACAATTTCGTCCCCCTGTTCTTCTTTTAGTCTACGATAATAATTTTCTAGTGTTGTGTGTATAGTTTCTTTGGAATACCTACATTTTGGTGATCCACAGCCACAAGTAAAGTTCTTGTACTTTATCACCCAGAATTTCTCACCATAATCAAAACTACAAAAATGTAATTATCAGATTAATCACCATCTAATAGATCATTTACTTCTAAGTAAAAGCAAGATCAATAAAAAAATTTACATGCTTTCTAATATCTTTTTAAATTGTTATAATCTTTCCAATCTGATAGCATGCCCTTCAGCATAAATTTGTAACAGTATTCCATAAAACTTCCAAATGGAAAAGTTAATAAGGTTATACGTCCTTTTTTTAACCATATAACCACATTTTAACAAAAACTGCATACATTATCCCATAATGTTTATTCTAGTTTAACATCTAACTATTATTATATTCAGTGTCTAACACATTGATATATGTACAAAAATTAAAAGACAAGAGAAAATGCAACAACACAGAGGTTAATCTTTAAATGATTTAGCATGTCCATATGGGATTCATTGAAATTAAGTGCCACTAATAGTTTTTAGTTTCCTACACATCTACAAATCAATTTCCAAATAAAACTTTCAAAGTTACATTTGATATAAATGAAACACAACATTAGTAATTGTTTCATTCTAATTCTGCAGGAAAGTTAGCAAAATAAGATAAAAAAACCTACTAGTCTTACCCTAATTCCTCATGGGGTTTGATATCACGAGAACTAAAAAATGCAATGCGAGGAAAGCTCAAGTCCTGATGATCAACAAACACTTTCACAGGTACCAAGTTTGGTTCACACAAGTGATTGATAAACCGACTAATGTTTCCATAGTAACGTGCATCTAGACAAAATGTTTCACCATCCTGAAGAAAAAAACAATCTGTTAAAAAGTGCAATCAGAAAAGCTGTACATGGAACTTAATTTAATGGAATCTACATTAACATGGTAAGAGAATTTCTTTTCTTAACCGAAATATTTAATAAAATCAGCAAGACAATGAAATAAGTTAGAAGTTTCTGAAATTAACACTCCAATATAATCAAAGGATTGGTAAAGAGTTAAAAACACATTTTAAATGTTTTACTTTTATGCATGCTTTAAAAAATGTTCCTTATGATAAATATTTTTATTAGAATTTGTTTCAATACGGATAAATAATTTAGTTCTTTAGCAAGCTTCAATCAAATGGTTCATTAAAACGTTACTGTACTTTGCAAAGGTTTGAAAAGCATTGAAAAGGTTTTATGTTTTTAACTTGTTTAGTTTTAGACCAAAGTCACATTTGTCTATCTGCTGTGTTCACTGTGGGGAATTGATCCCCAGATTTTAGCATTTTCTAACTCTGTAAACTTACTGCTGACCTACTGGGGGACCTTATGTTTTGAAAGAAATTTAAGCATTATAGGTCAAACATCACAATTTGTGATTATATACAAAATAAAATATGAATGGTTTAAATCATTGTTTTAAAAGAATCAATGAATTAATCCGAAACAACTTGTATTACTTGAAAATGATCAATTACTGTTTATATAACTTTACTTTCTTTTTTAAGGGTATTTCATTCTTTAACTTCAAAAACAAACTTCACATAAAATAAAATTAAAAGCAATAGATTTGGATAAAATCCCAGAATTCTCTAACAGCTGTAAATGACAACACTTTTTTTTACTTATTTCTGCCTTGCAATTCCTGGTGAACATTATTAACACTGGCCATTATGTCTTGTAGCAAAGGTAAAATGTAATATTTTGAAAAATGAAGTATTAATTAATCAGTGTTTGAAAATTATACAAATAACATACTTTTAGGTATAAAAATAAAACCTCACATGACTGACTTTATAAGTTTCAATGTAGTGCCAATTTTGATACTGTTGAAGCAAGTGCAGTTACTTATCTTCAACAATTAAGCCAAGTTGGATATTGTTGAAACAAGCAAAGTTACCTATCTTGAACAATTAACATCAATAAAGCCAAGTTGGATATTGTTGAAACCTATCTTGAACAATTAACATCAATAAAGCCACGTTGGATAATGTTGAAACAAGTGCAGTTACCTATCTTAAACAATTAACATCAATAAAGCCAAGTTGGATATTGTTGAAACAAGCACAGTTACCTATCTTGAACAATTAACATCAATAAAGCCAAGTTGGATATTGTTGAAACAAGCACAGTTACCTTGAACAATTAACATCAATAAAGCCAAGTTGGATATTGTTGAAACAAGCACAGTTACCTTGCACAATTAACATCAATAAAGCCAAGATGGATACTGTTGAAACAAGCACAGTTACCTTGAACAATTAACATCAATAAAGCCAAGTTGGATATTGTTGAAACAAGCATAGTTACTTATCTTGAACTATAAATAACATACAATCAAACTATTATTATCAGTACAGAAAAGAAGAACCCTCCTGGCAGAGTTCAGTGATATATCAAGTAATGATAGACCATAAATACATATCATGACATATGTTTAACATAATTTGATGGTTAATAAGGTTTATGTGTAAATATGAAAATTTTATATTTCTTATTTTTCATTGAGGAATTTTATGTTAGATTGCTAAATTAGGGTTTTAAAAATTTTAAATATTACAGTAACTTTTTTATCAGTGCATTATTAATATCATGTTTATGCTGAAAAATGCTACAAACCAAATGGTCTTTATATAACATATATGCACTGAAGAAAATAACAATTCAGAACTTACAAGTTAATACCCAGGTACACCGATTTGTTCTTAAGTTGTTTTACTGCACTGCATAAATAGTACTCAAAAACTGTTTGAAACTTACGATGAAATGACTGAAAAAAATAAGTAGATTCTGCAAAATGAAATATCTTACTTTTATATGTGATATTTGTATGAATTCACAGCCTTAAGGTATCAAAAAGGATTTTACTGTGATGTGTTATTTAGAAACAAGTACGTTTAGCTTTGTTAAAGATTTCATATATTGATTTCTATGTCTATCTACATTCTTTCATAACTTTTCAGAAAGGTTTTATTTTCTAAAACTGTAAACCTTATCGTTTTGATTTGAAAAACATGGCTAGCAATTTCACTATTTACAACCATTAATGTAACAAAAAAATATATTATTTTACTGTAAAATAATTATGATCAAGCCAGCTTTTTTTATTTAATTATTCATTAGTTTTCATTTAATATATATAAGTTTTAAACCCATTTTATATTAATTTATATATATATTTTATACATTTGTTTTCAGCGATTTTCTCTACCCATTGAAGCAGTTACTTCGGCCAATGTAGCTTAACATAAATATGTCCTATCTGGTCTTGTCAGCAAAACAAAACTTCACATGGCTGAGTGCAAAATAAGCAACTAAACCTAAAAAATTCTCTACATCATCTTGTTTAATGATAAACATTTCCTAGCACACAGCAATATCATAATTAAAAAGAAGTATAAAATCATAAGGCAAGTTTTTCCAAGCTTGAAACAAAATCTGGACATTAATTGAAAAAAGTTGTTCACAAATATATTTTCTTCTAGCAATATATCACCAAGTTAAGCTTTTATGGCTTTGTTCCAATCTCTACAAGTTTCCACTGAACTGGAAGCCATATTGGCTTATAAAGGTGAAAAAAAAAAAAGAGATTCCATTATGTTCTTAGGTTATTAGCCTATGATTTCTGAAAGATCAAATATAAGTTATTACAAAACACTAAAAAACTGAGATTCAGAAACATTGATTGGTTGAAATTAATAAAAATGCCCTTGTATTAAACTTACAAGGTTCAAATTAGTGCTATTTTTTAATTTTTGAATAAATTTCAGTGTTAAAGTATTTCTTTTTATTTTAGAAAGAAGGACTACAAGTTTATTTTCTATAAATGTTTTAAATTTATGGTGCAACTTTGATCTCGACAATGGGTGCACTTCACATGTACCATTGAGTTAAGAAATAATTCACTATTATATCAAATCTCTAATGGCCAAAATACGACTAAAAAAGAAAAATTGGGTAGGATTTTGCAATTTTAATATTACTAAAATATGGATGACGTTAAAGTGAGCTTCAAAATTTTATATCAAGCTTTAAAAAGCAGATTCTAGAAGAGTTACAAAAACCTAGCCTATAATTTAACTGTTCTCCCAATACATAACTCATAAAAATGTCAGTTTTTTCATGTGAAGGAACCCACCCACTTGAAGTAAATATATAGTAGAGATGGTCAACATGGGTATTAAAAACTTTTATTCAAAACACAAAACAAGTAACAACCTGATGATGACCTAAGCGTGTCAAAATGTTTTTGTTTGTTTTGTGTTTTAAATAAAAGTTTTAATACCCATATCAACCATCTCTACTCTAAATGATTGTCAGTTCTTTTCACATCTTAATAATGCTTTTACATCTTCAAAGTATAACACAAAGTATATTAAAATAGGCCTCAAATTTGTGATCAAAATCACATTAACTGTAGATGTTTATTCCCATATTACTTTTAATTTGTCTTTTGTGAATTAAAAAAATCTGAGGGATGTAAAAACAGCTTTTCAAATATATCGTTAGTCTTCCAGAAGTCACTGGTTAAGAAGACTTTCATTCAATATCAGAACTCATCAAATGGGCTGGAGGATGAGACATAAAAGAATCTCTGAAATGCTTTATTCTTACATTATATGAAGTATAATACTATACTTACCATTATCATTAAGATTTTGGGACATGTACTAATATTACTGATTACCTCAATTAGCTAAAAGATTTGACTTTAGAAAATATTGTCAATAATTTTATTCTGCATTTTATAAACATGATAAACTTTATAATCCTTTATGGCATTTAATTTTGAAGGACACTGCAAGTTTACTCATTTAGAAATATGAATCAAATTAAAGCTTTACCACAGGAAGCATTAATAATCTATTTAAAATTTTCACTTTAGACTAACAAATAGAGACTGTGATTTCACATGAGGTTTAAGCCTAGGGCCAAAATGTTTCATACTGTATTGATACAGTTGCAGAGAATAAATAATCTTTTAGGAGAGAAGTATTACCATTAAAATGTGGTAATTTGCTTCATAAATGCACACACACACACACACAATTTCAAAATTTTATACTTAATTGCTAAAAAAAATTGTTGAAAAAATGAATAAACAACTTAATTACGAGTTTCTTTTCAAAGGGAAAGTTAACATTTTCCTAAGTTGAAAAAGTATTTCCGACAGATACTCATCTCTATACATAGATTAGATTTCTTCCTTGAACATTTGCCTAACAGATTTGCATGCCAGTAATATTAAGGCAACTCCCACCTAATTTCACATGTTCTAACATGAAATGCACTGGTGCATGATGCCATCTTCCTGCAAAAAAAAACAAAAAAAAACAACAATAAGAGGGTGACAGAACCTTCATGCGAAGTAACTCTCCCTATGCACTTGCACATATGATAACTTCAGTCTTTGACAAGGCAAGACAAAAATGTGCACTGGAAGTGGGGAGGACATGTGGGAATGAGTGAAAAGGTGAGTATCTATCAGAAATACATTTTCAGATTAAGAAAATGTTAACTTCCTAGACAATAACTCACCACCCCACACAGATTAGGTAGAATCCCAGATTGAATTGGTGAAGGGACCAGTGCAAAATTTTACCTAGATGAGCTCCTTTCAGAAAGTACTTGTAGGTAATCCCATGGAGTGCAACAACCAATGAAAGGGGCTACATAGAGGCACACTCATGGGAGATCACAACTCATCTGAACGAGGGGGGAGAGGAAAATGAGCTTGATGTGTTGTAGGAATGGGTGGAATGAGAACATGACCATCTGAGCACTTGTACACAAGCCAATATGTGTAGCGTGGTTGGGGCACATTCAGACTGTACCTTATGTACTCACCTCAATTCTACTGAACAGACACCAGCTGTAGGAACAGGGCACTTCAGCTATGTAGTATGGTTTCATATATTGTGTGCTCACCTTGACTCTACAGAACAGATTCCATCTTCATAAAGAGGACACTTTAGTTATGCAGATTCTGGCTACAAGAGGAGGGGCACATTAGTTTTGTACCATGTTTTTCGCACATTGTGTGCTCACCCGAATTCAATTGAACAGGTTCTTTCTAGCTGTAGGAAAATGGCATAAGTGGTATGAGTTAGTGTTCAAAGGATTAGACCTGTACTACACTGAAGATGTCACCACAATCCCATTTCTTACCATACTGTGCTAAGCTTAACCGATGAGAATTCTCCATGGTCCACCACCCCAACAGCTAAAAACTGGTAAGCAGCAAAGGTCTCCCATTTTCCACTCAACAAATAGGGGAGAATTTGCATTGGAGAAATCAAGAGAAGTGCTCAGATCCCCATCGATCCTCCTACCAGAAAGGTCTTTTAATAGAGACAGTGCAATGGGCGACCAAGAAACCCTATTTTTAAAAGCCAGCTAGTACAAGCCAAAGAAGTGGGTTGAACACTTCCCTGGTGTTGGCTTTTTTCCCTAATAGTCCAAGGAATACGTACAGTCTGAAAGGACAGTTGAGTAGTTATGTATACCACTATACCACAAGGATACCTCATATGGTATTATGGAACACCTCATTTACCAGTGGGCACTGGGAGAGCCATGGTACATGGTATGAGCACTTTCCATTATCCTGGCTCAATGTAGATTTTGAGTAAGTATATCCTGGGAAGCAACACCAACCACCAAGAAGGATCCTATGAAATTAAAAATGGGCTCTGAAAAATAAATTGTAAGTATCCTTCTCAAAGATAATGCCGTGATTGAAGAATGATGACATATGGAAGCCGAAATCCAGCAGGAGACAAAACAGCCAGATACTGTGGATAAGGAGAAACAAACGTGTGGAGACTCATCCACATGCCCACCTAGAGGATCTCATCCCAGAGCTAGTGAAAATGAGAGGCAAGAAAATGAGAAAGGTGATGAATTGAATACAAAGAAATGTGAAAGATCCTGCAAGCATCCACATCCAGAGATGAACATACCAACTAGAGGAGTCAATGGACCCATTTAATAAGAGTAGGAGAAGAGGGGTCCCAAGGTAGGAACAAACGATGCCATGAACAAGACTGCTCAATAACCAGTAAAGGCAGAGATTCAGAAACCATGTTCGAAGAGCCAAGTAAAAAGGTAAAAATGAGTAAAGTAGTTCTGGATGAACCAATGATGAAAGACCTGCCACTTTTGTTGAGAGATAAACATAATAGAAGGGGGGGACAGGAATGTGATGAGAAGAATGCCACACAACTGGAGAGTACAGCTTGATAAGCAAAAGATCAGACAAAAACAATACATGAAGAAGGAGAGTAGATATCCCACAATGAAAAAGAGATGTGTAAGAATAAGGCAAGAGAGGGGAAATTGGGTAGAGAAAGATGTGAAGGATGAATGATAAGTGAAGAAGCAAAGGAAGCCAAAACTAAGCTGGCCAGAGAAGCGCCAGTCATAAGATCCAACAAGGAATGACACGTGTCAAGGAGTGGGCCCAAGTGAGAAAACAAATAGGGGAATAGTCATAAGGAAAGGTCTGGCTGAGAAAATTGAAAGCCAGAGCCAAATGATGAGGAACAGTGGACCAGAAAAGAAAAAACCCAAGTTGAGAAGGGTGTCAAATTGTCCATGAAGGATAAATGCCCAACCAAGAACAAACCCAATAAAAGAGCTAGGGGTATAGAGATCACTCTTTTAGTAGAATGTAAACTGATTGAGAGAGGCAGCTCGGTACCAAGTTCTAAGCTCCAAGATGGGAAAAGTCTGCTCAATAAAATGCCAAGAAGAAGATTATTTGTTTGTTTTGGATTTTGCACAAATCTACACAAGGGCTATCTATGCTAACCATCCCTAATTTATCAGTGTAAAACTAGAGGGAAGGCAGGTAGTCATCAACACCCACTGCCAACTCTTGGGCTACTCTTTTACCAACGAATAGTGGGATTGACCATCACTTTATAATGCCCCCCACGGCTAAAAGGGAGAGCATGTTTGGTGTCACGGGGAATCGAACCTGTGACACGCATATTACGGGTTGAGCACCCTAACCACCTGGCCATGCCAGACCTTCGAGAAGAAGAATTAAAACTTGTGAAATTAGGCGGGAGTTGCTCAAGGCTAGTGGCACATAAGGAAGATATCCACTTTGTGTGAAAATGAGAGTTATTGTCTCTGAATTAATCTGCTACTCAAAGACTACTACTACTTAAATTAAACCCTGAATTACATATCCAGAAATAATTACTTTTCAAATTCCTAGGTTGAATACATACAAATTTTTTGAAGAGGAAAAAAACAAAAATACAGAAGTGATTTTATAATTTATAAAGAATAAGTAAAGTCAACACATTAATTTCTAATTAGACAGAACCAGTTATTTATTTATATATATAACCATAACTTGGTTCAATTAAAAAAATTTTAAATAACAGGCCCAACACTTTTCTCTAAAGTTGTATATAACAGTTCAAATATAAACAAAAACATACTCTATTATCCAAATCAAAGAGGTATGAATCATCTTCTCGCTGGTCTGCTTCAGAATCAGAAATGATTTCTCCTATGTATCTGAAAATCAAAGAAATTAATAATAATAAATTATTATTCTCGAAATAAGAAATTTGCTTTGATTGCTCATTCAGGTTTAAAAATTTCTTTTAACAGATACAATAATTTCCCAAAAGTTGCCAAACTATAATTCAAAAACTTTTTGTGAATTGAAAAGTTTCAACTAATATCTGAAATAAATTCAATATTTACATCTTTGTGAAAAAACAAATACAATTCTAAGTATTGTTTCTTTCCAGTGATTACACAGCCATCAGCCCACTTACTCGCATACAAAGCTCCCTCTGTGAATTTCTTTCAAAGTTCTTACACCCCAACCTTTCCCTTTGGTGCGAAACACTTGTAGGCGACAACTATGGGGGAAAAAAGTATATTATCTGAAATATATTTAGTGTTGAAGTAATGGAACATAAGTATCATATTTGTTAATTTTATGTAACTTAAGTTATTTGATTGATACAGTTGTAACTCTTAACATATTACTTTTTATTTCTTAAAAGAAAAAACTTACCTGAAGCTTTAGCTTTAGAATTAACTCATCATACTTTCTCAAACTATAAAGGCAAAAGACAAACAAGCATTTGTCACAGATATTCACTGCTGCTTTCTGTGATTATTTAAATATCTTGGCATTAAACCAAAAGTTACGTTTACTAACATGACTATAAATATGTGTACTACAAACAGTATTTCTCAATTATATTGAAATTTTAAATCAGGTTCATACCTTTTTAAAAACCCAAATATATTTTGATATTCTCTTTCTCTCTCTCTTCAGCACTTAACTATAATTGTCTTATTAGACCAGCATTTCCTTATTTTAGTTTAAAACTCAATAAATTAAGAGAAATTTTCAAGTACCCTCCAATGTGAATGTAATTTTATCAAAATTTTTAATCATTCTTTCAGTATAATCTTTATTAGTAGACCTTGCAAATTGGAAATCTCTGCCTGAAATGTTGATTTTAACCCAATCTTGAAAACACCATTAAAGAATATGCTGTTGTATAAAAACCACGGCATAAAAAAATTACAAATGGTTTATGGGCTTAATAAAATTCTATATCCATATTCCAATGAATTCTACTGGAAATATGATAATACAACCACACTGAAAATATTTGTATGTAATAAAATGTTAAGTTGAAAAAATTCCTTTCTTCATCATTCACAATATGTGACCATGTACAAAATCTTATGCAACATAAAATTTTCAGATGTACCCAACAAATAAAAAAATACAATATGATGCTCATAAAGAAGTAATTGGACAGAATTGAAAGATATATATACATGTGCATTAAGAATTATGACTCAAAACAAATTAATTAAAAACATTAAGAATAATGAAAATAAGTTTCTGACTCAAAATTGCATATCTAAGCAATGAAATACAAAAAATCTTCTACCTTTCACAAAAAAAAATCATCACGTACATGAAAAATTGTAAATCATATCTGCCTTGAAGCCTTACAACAACACAATTTGTACCAAACATCTAGAATTTAAAACACTTTATTATAAGAAAACTGATAAAAATGCATGAAAACTAGCAAGTGACTAACGTGATTCCATTCTGCATTACTCTGTTGTTACAGTTTTTCCAACACAAACAGGCTCTGTTACACTCGAATATCATGGGAGGGTCTAACATATTGAACTCTGGTAGAATATGTCCTTCCTAAGGAAAAGTAGGTTTTAGTAAATCACACAAATAGGCACATCAAGTTGCATTAAATTTACAAAGTATACAGAAGAATCCAAAATACTGATTACTGAAAAAAAGTTGTTAGTTTCAAAAAACAGGAATAATATGACAAAACTGTTATTTAGAATGTAATATCTGTTATTTTAACAAATATTACATTTTCTCTTAAAGTAGTGAAAGACATTTTCACACATACTGTAAAATAAAAAGCTTAGGTTTATTGTGTTGCAAACTTCACATAAATAATATTACAATACATATAACATGTATTTTCAACCAAAAACAAGCAAAACTTTTCAAGTGGAGTTAGTATCATTTTTAGACACTCAACATTTAACGATACACTATAATATGCTTGAGTTATTGAATAACCTTTAATTTCTGACAAAAACAAACCTTTTATTGCCCATAAAGAAAATACAGATTTATTTCATCTGAAGTCAAAAGTTGTCTTATTACTTCACATTGCACTACAACTACAAACTAGAAATTACACTATAATTATAATAATTACAATTATTTGCTGGTTTGTTTGTTTTTTAGCACAAAGCTACATAATGGGTTATTTGCACTCTGTCTACCATGGCAAAAACAAACCATGGATTCTAGCATTGTAATTCTATAAACTTACTGCTGAACCACCAGGGAGCTAATGATATAAGAAAACCATTTTGAACACAAACCCATACAAATGCAAATTGATAGCACAATAAATATTTAAAATAAAAAAGTTAGAAAATGAAAGAAAATGCGACAAGTCAAAATTATACATCAACATCATTTACCAAGAAACTAAAGGGTTACAAGTCATTGAATTTTTTTTCGTCTTTTTTTTAAATTTAAGATCAGATTTTATTTCCTATTGAAAATACCCACAGAAATTATTTTCTTACAGTTTAATCTCTCCCTCTCTCTTCTCTTGCACCCCCACAAGAGAGGACCCCCAGATTCTAGCTATTAGTCTCTTATGTCTGGCTTTTCTGAACATTAGTTACATTCCTGCACATTACATTATTTTCACAAAAATTTTTAAGCAACATTAACTTGCTTGCTTTAATAAGTATTGTTAAACATGAATGATTTTGACTTTAAGACCTGCTGTGTCTGAGTTTGATTATTTATCTAAGACTTGATATGAACACTGTGCAAAATATAATGAACTTGTTGATTGGGTTACAGTAGAAATTTTCAGTCCTTTTGAGGGCAGCACCCCTGCTGGGGGATCAACTGTGGTATCAGTAAATTGGATCCCAATAACCACTCTGTGCAGTGCTGTGCATATGGCAAATTATAAGTTTATTGTGCAGTTATCTTCCTTGTCAATACAGGCTCTTGCATGATAGAAAAACTTTAAGATAAGAGTTATTTTCCTTCAACGATTGATTTTCATTAGAGGTTCCACTATTAAACATATTACTGTGCAAAGATATCTATATCTATTTGCAGTGGAAGTTTAGTATAAAGATATCTGTTTGCGGA